GGATCGGGCCCTCGGGGTCAGGCTGCAGTGTGAGCGCAGCGTGTGGGGAGCAGAGGATCGGTCCCTCGGGGTCAGGCTGCAGTGTGAGCGCAGCGCTGGGAGCAGAGGAGAGGATCGGGCCCTCGGGGTCAGGCTGCAGTGTGAGCGCAGCGCTGGGAGCAGAGGAGAGGATCGGGCCCTCGGGGTCAGGCTGCAGTGTGAGCGCAGCGTGTGGGGAGCAGAGCAGAGGATCGGGCCCTCGGGGTCAGGCTGCAGTGTGAGCGCAGCGTGTGGGGAGCAGAGGATCGGTCCCTCGGGGTCAGGCTGCAGTGTGAGCGCAGCGCTGGGAGCAGAGGAGAGGATCGGGCCCTCGGGGTCAGGCTGCAGTGTGAGCGCAGCGCTGGGAGCAGAGGAGAGGATCGGGCCCTCGGGGTCAGGCTGCAGTGTGAGCGCAGCGCTGGGAGCAGAGGAGAGGATCGGGCCCTCGGGGTCAGGCTGCAGTGTGAGCGCAGCGTGTGGGGAGCAGAGCAGAGGATCGGGCCCTCGGGGTCAGGCTGCAGTGTGAGCGCAGCGTGTGGGGAGCAGAGCAGAGGATCGGTCCCTCGGGGTCAGGCTGCAGTGTGAGCGCAGCGCTGGGAGCAGAGGAGCGGGCCCTCGGGGTCAGGCTGCAGTGTGAGCGCAGCGCTGGGAGCAGAGGAGAGGATCGGTCCCTCGGGGTCAGGCTGCAGTGTGAGCGCAGCGCTGGGAGCAGAGGATCGGGCCCTCGGGGTCAGGCTGCAGTGTGAGCGCAGCGCTGGGAGCAGAGGAGCGGGCCCTCGGGGTCAGGCTGCAGTGTGAGCGCAGCGCTGGGAGCAGAGGAGAGGATCGGTCCCTCGGGGTCAGGCTGCAGTGTGAGCGCAGCGCTGGGAGCAGAGGATCGGTCCCTCGGGGTCAGGCTGCAGTGTGAGCGCAGCGCTGGGAGCAGCAGCGGCCGCTGGCCCTGAGCAAGGGTCACCCCGTGCCTGGAGCCAGCTCCACACTGGGGGCACGGCCAGGGGCCCACAGGGCTTTGGGAACCAGGGCCATGTCTTGGGTCTGCCGTGGTACTGGTGGAGAAACCGCAGTGCCAAGGGCTGGGCACCAAACTGCCAAGTTTCAGCTAAGATGGGAGAGAAAAGGGGGGCTTGTGCTGTTGTCGACCAAAATTCAGAAGGAGTCAGAAAAGTGTCCTGATTTTAAAGGGTTCTCAGTCCTGCAGGCTTGTTCCTAAGCCTGGAAGTGCCCGTGGCTGTGTGCTGCAGCCTCTGGTGTCAGCAGCATTTGCTGTGACTCAGAGCTTGCTTGGCTGATGCTGAGCTTTGCTGGGCTCCAGTTCTGCTGACTGTTCTTATCTCCCCCTCCTGGTTCTCCCCTGCAGAGCCAGGAACTTGCAGAAACACAATCCAACCTCCCGGCTCCAGCCTGCCCTTCCTCTTGGCATGGCTTGTCCCCCCCAGGGCAGCCTTTGGAGCAGTGAATACCTGGAGACTCTTCAGTACCCAGCACTTTCCTGGTAGGAGCCGGCAGTGACTCCTGCGGGTGACGCTGCTGCATATCCAGAGCGAGTGACACCCACGGCACTCCTCTCCAGGGCTGAAGCAGTTCAAGGGATGCAGGATAAGTTTCCAGACACATTGAATCACTCAGAAAACACTTCAGACCCTTCAGAAAACAGCACCACAGAGCTGCCTCACTGTTCCTGGAGTGAGAGATGTTCTCCACTGAGCACGCACAGAGGTGGGATGCTTGGCTGTGTGAAGGCACACGCTGTTGATAAACTCTGGGTACTGATGGTGTCCCTGGTGAAAGGCAGGAGCGCTTCAAGGGCTCGGGCATCCCTCAGAGCCTGCTCCTCCCGGGAGGCTGAGCCATGGCCTGGCTGCTGCAGGCCCCGCTGCCGGCCCGAGGGCTCTGCCCGCTGCTCCTGGCTGCCCTGGCAGCAGGGCTCTGACAGATGGGTGGCATTTCCAGGGCAGCCAAAAGGGACGAGATATATTTAAACGCAGCAGATTATTAGGTAACAAAGAGTGCCTGGTGCTGTGTACTCAGATCTTGGAGACCCTAAATAGCACCAGGCCACTGGTCAGGGGTGTTGACCCTGTTTCTGTGTCCTCCCAGAACAGGATTTGCTGTTCTGTCCTGTGGCTGCCCAAGTTGCTGTCACTGCCTGGGTGGTGTGGCCAGGGTGGGATTCCAGGACCCCTTGTGCTTGGGCTGTGGTTCAGATCCCCTAGGGGTTCTCAGGACTGGTTCACTCCCATGGTTTGTTCTGTCCTCTGTCCCCTTGTTAAGAGTGTGAACAATGAGTGGAAATGACACATAATTTTGAGGTGCACCTTTGGATTCACCTGTCCTCTTAGCCAAGGGGATGCCCTGAGCCTTTGCTACTTTCTGTATATGGGCTTGCAGGAGATCCTGTGCTGAGTGTGCCACAAGGGAGGGAGTGAGCCTTGCATGTGTCTGGCATGTGTCACACAGCATGGTGATCACCCCTTCTTGATCTGTATCTGTGACCAAACGTGGGTGAGCCTCCTTCATATGAGAAAACATAGAGCTTGGGGGGGCTTTCTTCAAAGAGCATGTTTGGTTTGTGTGCAGGGCGTGAGTGCTGAGCGAGCAGGAGACAGACCTTCACCACCCAGTGGGAGGGTTTCTGCTTTCTGTCCAGGGAGCTGGCTCAGGGCCCTGCAGTCCTTTTGCTGGGCCTGGGAGCATGGGTCCTTTCTGCCTGTGGGTACCTCAGACCCAAGAGGACAGTGGCTCTTCAGTGTTAGATCTTGGCTAAAAAAATCCTTGAAATAAACTCTTTAGCTCGAGGGAGCAACACCAAAGGCCTTGCTGGCAGGTTGTCAGCAGCCCGAGGGCTGCACCTGCTCCCAGAGACATTTACATAAATACTTGTGATCAGTAATGCCTGCTCTAACCTTGCTTGGCTGTTCTCTCCCTTCCCCACGAGTGCAGCTGGTTGCAGGCCAGCTCCTGCTCCCGCACTGGCCTCGGTGCAGGTCTCAGGTGTCCTGGCTGGGAGCTCTGCTCTGCTGTGGCCGTGTCACCTCCAGCAGCCCGGCAGGTGCTGCTGTCCTCACCGGGCACTGCCAGGGCTTCCCACTAGTGACCCTTTGCTGCTCCCTCTCTCGGTCCCGGTGCGGCTGGAGGCCGGGAGGCAGCTCTGCTCTGTGCGGGCTGTGCTCTGTGCGGGCTGTGCTCTGTGCGGGCTCTGCTCTGTGCGTGCCCGGCCAGCGGTGCCGCTCAGCCTGCGGCCGCTCTCCGTCCCTGAGCCGGACGGGCTCAGGGAGCACCGTGAGTCAGCAGCTCCTCGGGGCTGGGTTTCCTCACGCACCCTGTGCCAGGGCCATTGCGTTGGCTCTGGCTGCGAACCAGCAGCAAAGTGGAGCGAAAGATCTGCAGACAAAGGGCTTTTCTTTATTAGTTATTAATGTCGTTGAACTGAACCACTCTGAAATTGTTGGTAGCAGAGATTTGTGTTTGCACCAGGGGATTCCTGATGGGGTTTTTGCCACTCTGCGCTGCTTCGCTTCTTCCTTTAAGGAACTGTTGATAATACCCTGAAATATTTTGAGAAAATACAGAGAAATGCAGCTTTAAGGCTCAGCTGCTGCTTAAGCAACTTCCCTCCTATTTTGGAGTCTGTCAGATCGTTTGCTCACTCATGCTACTCGTGCTGCAGAAGTTGAACGCAAACTGTGGATGTGAGTCTCGGGCAGCCCTGAGAAGAGTGCTGTATGGATGTGAAATCCTTCCTGATGACCGAATTTCACATGGTGCTTCTGTGAGTGCTGCGGGGTCAGAGGCTGGGGCTGCAGCCCCAGTGCTAGAGCTCGGTCCAAGGGTGGTTTCTCCAGGTGTGGGTTCAGGACCGTGTTTACCTTGGCAGCTGGCTGCTTGACCTGGCTCGTGCTCTCCAGGGGAGGCTGGGCTGTGTTTGGGCTGCTGCTGCAGCTGAACTTCAGGAAATTGTGTCAGCTGGATCTGGGTCAGTGTTGCTGTGCGGTCACAGGTACCAAAGGGCATTCAGAATCGGGAGTAAGAGTTTTGTTGCCTTTTGTGCTCTCTGTAGTTTTTGCACCATACCCTTCAAAATAAGAAGATGGGTTAGAAAGTATCCCAGTAGTGGCAGGGCCGGTCTGGGGTGGCCTGGGCTGGGCAGCTCTGTGCCTGGTGGGGCCCTGTTCCCCTTGTTATGTCAGTACAGATTGTCTTGAAGATCACTGGGAGATTGAACATAACCTGGTCATTCCAGATGGCAGCATACATGCTCTTCTCTCTAATTTCCTAAATACATGTTCTGACTTCAGTGTTTCAGTCAAGCCAGAGCTTCTCCTGGGAGAGGCTCTGTTGGGGTGTTTCTTAGAGCTTCCTCTGAATTACCTGATTTTGGTGATTGTATAACACAGAACACTCAACTGTCCATGTCCTTCCCCTGATCCCTCCCTTGATAAATTAAGGTTTTATTTTCCAGATGTTTGTATATTACTGTGCCGAGGTTGCTGCACCACCTTTCGTTGCAGCTCCTCAGAGGTTGTCAGGAGCAGGATCTGCTGAGCCTCACGGATGGTGGGTTTGGAGATATTTGATTAAGGCTGTGCAATGTCTAGATGCCAGGGCCACTGGCGCCACAGGACTTGTATAAATAAATTCTGTTTGTGCCATGTTCACGCAATTAAAGCCAGAGCCCTGGATTGGGTTTGATGAGGTTTATTTTGCTAGTCGGGCCACACAGATTTCATTTACTTTGTCTGGTGTTCTGAAAACATATAGGAACATACACACATCAAAGCCAAGTTTAAGAGCTTGATTAAAATCCACAGCAGTAAAGGGGTGCCCTGATGTGTTTGTGTCAGTGCAGTGTCCATTGAGCTGGGGTTCACTCGGGATAGCGTGAAGGTATTTTAACTTAGGATTCCTGCCCCGTGCTGGTTGTAGGCTGCTCTCAGGGAAGGTCAGGGATGTGCCGTTGCTCACTGTGGATGTTTCTCTTTCAGAGGAGAATGAGAAGCATGAGAAGCTCTGCGTGGAGAGGGAGCAGGAGCAGAAGAAGGCGGGCAAGGCCAGCGTGCCCCGGGCCAACAGCACCGTGTCCCCAGAGGAGCCCCGGAGCGAACTGCTGGTGCCCATCTCCCCGCCGGGCGCCGTGCCCCTGCCGCCGCCGCCGCTGGCCGCTCCCATCTCGGTCATTCCCATCCCCGTCGTCACCAGCTCCCCCCAGCAAGCGGCGCAGACCGCCCTGTCGCCGCCGCTGGTGCAGCGCCACCAGCCCCTCGTGAGCGCTCCCAGCGTGCCCAAGGAAGCGCCCTCGGTGGCGCCGGTGATCCAGCGGCCGCCGGGGCCGCACCTGCCGGACGGGAAGGCGGCCACGCCGCCCTCGGGCAGCCCCAAGCCGCTGCCGCACTACGCGGCGCCCGTGCTGGCCATCTCCCAGCACCATGTGGTGCCGCAGCCCATCCAGCCCCTGCAGCACCCGGCGGCGCCCGCGCCCCTCGGCGCCCTCAAGCTGGCGCCCGCCGACGACATGAAACCCATCGAGCTCAAGAAGAGAATTGGAGGGTGAGTGCGCCGTGTGTCCAGGAGGGACAGCCGGAGCTGCGTCCCCCTGGAGCGGCTCCTGCTTGTGCAAAGTGTCATTGGATCAGAAATGCCAAGACCTGTGGATGTTTAATGTCTTCAGATTGCTGAGAGCAGGGTTTTTTAGCTTGATGGGTTTTTATTTCCCTCCCTCACTCCACACTGTAAGATTTTGTGTAAGGATTTTTTTTTGCAGGCCAGAACTGTGTTAGGAAGCAAATCCCAGCCCTGCATGTCTGATCTCAAGTGGTATCTCGTGTTATGTTTGGCAAAAGATCGCTGCTTGTACTGGTCAGGGAAATCAAAGTGCACTGCTGCTTGTGGGAGCTTTCTTGAAAACTGGAATGGGATCTGGGAGATGTTATTCTGAGGACAGAGATCACCAGTTTCTCAGTGCTGTAAGTGCTAAGAGCCTCCTGCCTGCTCAGAATCTTGCTGCTGGAAGCGGCTGAGGACTATTTAGTCTGCCCTCACCCTCTGACAGGACTTGTGGCTCTGATGTTGCTCCAGGTTAGTGTTTTTCTGGCTTGTTCTTAAGGACTTTGGCTGGTGGAGACCCTGCCTTTTCTGTAGGTGGTTGTTTCCAGACCACAGTATCCCAGTAGAGAGTCTGGTATTACTGCTTGTGGACTGGGAGAACAAATCGTTCCCTTCTTTGCAGCAGTTTTACCTGTTTCCTTTGGCCCCTCAATTTTCCCATAGCATAAGTGACCTGGATCTGTGCAGGCTTCCCTCCTGGCTGTGCTGTCTGGGCCTCTGTTCTCCTGGCTGCCTGCAGCAGGGGGATGTCTCCTGGCAGTGGTGTTAGAGATGGTGTGTGAATGCCATGGGGATGGTGGAGATGTATAGCGGACAGAAAAAAGGTTCATTGGGATGTACAGATCCCAAAATGCATAGAAACAGTGAAAGTAATGCAGATAGGAGTTTGTGAAGATAAAGGCTTTAGTAGAATGCCAGTGTAGTTCCTCTAAGCAGATTGAGATCTTGAGAGCCTGTCTGCTGCTGGAAGGGTCTGTTGGTCTGTGCACTAATGGAGAGAGCCCGTCCCTGACGTTGTGTGGGTTCAGGAGCTGTGGAGGAGGTTTCTGCTGGCACCAGGGCAGGCTGCACAAGTTTGGCTGCCTGGGCTGTGGGCAGTGGGGTGGCTGCAAGTGCACCCACAGCCTGCTGCTGTGCTGCCAGACTGAGCTTTGCCCTGGCAGGTGGGCTGTGGTGCCAGTGTGGAGCACAGCATCACCACTGCCTCCCCCTAGAATTGCTCCATAAGCACAGAAAAGATGTCTTTTTCAGCCTGTAAATGTTTCACAGGAAAATGCTGTCAAATATTTGTGACAATTTATTAAATATTATTACCTCAATGTCCTGTATTTTCAGTCAAAGGCAAATAATTACTTTGCAGAGTGTATGAAAGATTCTTGAAATCTCCACATCTGCTAATGTACCTTATCACTGAAAAACTGAGCTGAAAAACTGAGATAACATGAATTTGTTTGGCTTTTCCTAAAAATATTCCTCTGATTCAGAGAGTGGGTGGACTCCAACCCCGAAACCAGAAACTCACGGTGGTTTTTCCTTCAGCAGTGACTGGAGAATTCCTGTATTGCTTCATTCCATGTTTATCCTCAGCTGTGTTGTTTCACGCACAGTAAAAACCCAAAGTTGGAAGTGTCTGCTCAATCCCATACGCTTGAATATGGAACTGCACAAACCTTGTCCCACTGGAGTGTAGGCATAGATCAGAACCAGGTCAGAATCTGGGCTCTCTGGGTCTGTACAAATATTTAAAATCCATACTTTGTGTCTTTCCCTGTTGTTGGTAGTGGCAGTGTCTATACACACATGCATTACACCTGTTTGTATCTTCTGTGCACTGTGTGCACAATGCTTGGTTCCTCTGATGCACGTGTAAAGTATGGAGTTTATCTTGAAACAGTGTAGGCAGAAATATAGATGTACTTAATGTTAAACCAGTGATATATGAACACTTCTGCTTTTGCATCTCAACATACAGACACTGCTGCAGGCACAGGTGTGAGGCAGGAGTTTTCAACCTGACACTGAGCTGATCTTTGTTCTGTTTGGGTTACAGGGTTGGGACCAGGGAAGTACATAATAAATTGGAGAAGAACAGGTGCGTAGAAAGCCAGGGGTTTGGGTTTTTTAATTGTAATTCCCCTCCTTTTTTTGGCCTATTGTCTGTCAATATTTGTTTGGCTTTGGTGGGTTTTTGTTTGTTTGCTTGCTTGTTTTTTAAACAGATAACCTGAATAAAATTCTTAGTGACTATTACTGAATTTTGCAGTATTGTTTGGCTTTCTTATAGCTTAATTCTGCATTTCTTGCTTCCCAATATGTTCTGTTTAACTGCACCATTGCATCCCAACCACCCTGATCCTGCAAAGCAGTAACAGTGCATAACAGTGTGACTCTCTTTTGATTTAAAAAGAGAAAAATACCCCAAATGAGGGGTCAGTGTACAGTGCGAATACAGAATAAACATCAGTTTCTGACCCAAGACTCTTATAAGCCTGACTAGCTAAATTGGAAGTATGGTGACAGTGAAAGCACCAGCACAGTGAGATGAGATATTTTATTTAAGGCTGCACGGTGTTCCTAACAAAGCTGGGACAGAGCCCAGGCACAGACCCTGCTGGGTGAGCTGGCTCAGCTGTGGCATGCTGTGCTGGGGGCTGCTATGCACAGGTGTAGGTGCTTTGCTGGATTAAGGCCCCAGTTAAGCTCTCCCCTCCGTGGAATTGGTTCCTGCTGTGTCTCCTGGCAGCTGACGACCCACCTGTGTTTTCTTTAGACGTGCTCATTTGAAAGAGTGCTTTGAGACATTAAAGCGCAACATCCCCAACGTGGATGACAAGAAGACCTCAAACCTCAGCGTCCTCAGGAGTGCCTTGCGATACATCCAGGTACGTGCAGCGCTCGTGGGGATGGGCAGAGCCCGGGGCTGGCGTGGGGTGCACAGAAACCCCCCTTGTGGGGCTGCCAGGTTAACCCAGATCATCCTTTCCTGAAGGGGTGATAGCAGGGAGCAGGTAATTCATCTTAGAGACCCAGGCTGAGTGAACTTCAGTTGTTTCCTTTTGGGCCCAGGTGAATTTTAATATGTGTGGTTTGGGGAGGTTTTCTGTTTGCTTAACCGAAAGACAGATTTCGGTAAAGATTTGGTATGTCTCAAAATTTTGATGAGGGGGACATGTGAGTACAAGTCATTTGCTTGGAGGCAAGGAAAGCCCAGAATCTGAAGCTGCAGCATGAGGCTGTAGGTGGATGGGGCACCACCAGGAGTGAATCTGGGAGAAAGCACAGGTGAAAATCAGTTGTGTTTGTAGCTGGAGGGAAATAAGTGTTAGTGTTTGCTTGTTTAATGTTTGGGAAAGTGGTTAATGGTAGCACAAAAGAAATTGTAGATGTCCCCTGTGAATGTGAAATCAGTAGTATGTAAGGCAGTTAAAATTCATTTGGAAATTGGAAGAGTTGCTGCGATTACAATGCAAATAGAGACCTAGTACACCTTGTGCATTTTGACTGAAATAAAAGGTGCTGAGGATTGATCACAGTGGTCTTTTCCACAGTAAAATGTAATCTTTTCTCACTTTGTTTCCATTTTTCCTCAGCCACTCTCAAACACCATTTCCCTCTGGTGTTCAGAATTGATTATTCACTTCAGCTTTGCTTTGGAGAGTCAGTAATGCCTCAGAATTAGACCAGTTCAGCCCTCTTCTTAGTTTTCACCAACAACTTCCCTCAGAGAGACTTGGGCTGCGGCAAATTCTGACTGTACCCAGCCACTCTCTGTGTTGCTCAAAAAAGTGGTTTTTGGGGGTGTGGTTGTACTGAGGCCTAATGGGCTTTAGAGACGATCTGAGCCTTTCTTTGGGTTTTGGCAGGCTGATGTTGTAGTTTGCAGGAGGAACCTCCCTGACGGCCAGTCAGTGTGCAGTCTGTCCGTGGCTGTCTGTCAGTCGGAGCGCAGTCCTGGCCAGGACTGGCTGGCCATGGCTGTCCATCGGTCGGTGTGCAGTCTGTCTGTCGGTCAGTGTGCAGTTGGTCAGTGTGCAGTCTGTCCGTGGCTGTCCGTCAGTCGGTGTGCAGTCTGTCCGTCGGTCGGTGTGCAGTCTGTCCGTCGGTCTGTGTGCAATCTGTCCGTTGGTTCCTGTGCAGTCTGTCCGTTGGTTCCTGTGCAGTCTGTCCGTCGGTCGGTGTGCAGTCTGTCCGTGGCTGTCCGTTGGTTCCTGTGCAGTCTGTCCGTCGGTCGGTGTGCAGTCTGTCCGTGGCTGTCCGTTGGTTCCTGTGCAGTCTGTCCGTTGGTTCCTGTGCAGTCTGTCCGTCGGTCGGTGTGCAGTCTGTCCGTGGCTGTCCGTTGGTTCCTGTGCAGTCTGTCCGTCGGTCGGTGTGCAGTCTGTCCGTGGCTGTCCGTCGGTCCGTATGCAGTCTGTCCGTCGGTCGGTGTGCAGTCTGTCCGTGGCTGTCCGTTGGTTACTGTGCAGTCTGTCTGTCGGTCGGTGTGCAATCTGTCCGTTGGTTCCTGTGCAGTCTGTCCGTTGGTTCCTGTGCAGTCTGTCCGTCGGTCGGTGTGCAGTCTGTCCGTGGCTGTCCATCGGTCGGTGTGCAGTCTGTCCGTCGGTCGGTGTGCAGTCTGTCCGTGGCTGTCCGTTGGTTCCTGTGCAGTCTGTCCGTTGGTTCCTGTGCAGTCTGTCCGTCGGTCGGTGTGCAGTCTGTCCGTGGCTGTCCGTCGGTCGGTGTGCAGTCTGTCCGTCGGTCCGTGTGCAGTCTGTCCGTCAGTCCGTGTGCAGTCTGTCCGTCGGTCGGTGTGCAGTCTGTCCGTGGCTGTCCGTTGGTTACTGTGCAGTCTGTCCGTCGGTCGGTGTGCAATCTGTCCGTTGGTTCCTGTGCAGTCTGTCCGTTGGTTCCTGTGCAGTCTGTCCGTCGGTCGGTGTGCAGTCTGTCCGTGGCTGTCCGTCGGTCCGTATGCAGTCTGTCCGTCGGTCGGTGTGCAGTCTGTCCGTGGCTGTCCGTTGGTTCCTGTGCAGTCTGTCCGTTGGTTCCTGTGCAGTCTGTCCGTCGGTCGGTGTGCAGTCTGTCCGTGGCTGTCCATCGGTCGGTGTGCAGTCTGTCTGTCGGTCGGTGTGCAGTCTGTCCGTGGCTGTCCGTTGGTTCCTGTGCAGTCTGTCCGTTGGTTCCTGTGCAGTCTGTCCGTCGGTCGGTGTGCAGTCTGTCCGTGGCTGTCCGTCGGTCGGTGTGCAGTCTGTCCGTCGGTCCGTGTGCAGTCTGTCCGTCGGTCCGTGTGCAGTCTGTCCGTCAGTCCGTGTGCAGTCTGTCCGTCGGTCGGTGTGCAGTCTGTCCGTGGCTGTCCGTTGGTTCCTGTGCAGTCTGTCCGTTGGTTCCTGTGCAGTCTGTCCGTCGGTCGGTGTGCAGTCTGTCCGTGGCTGTCCGTCGGTCGGTGTGCAGTCTGTCCGTCGGTCCGTGTGCAGTCTGTCCGTCGGTCCGTGTGCAGTCTGTCCGTGGCTGTCAGTCAGCCAGGTGCTCCCGCAGCCGGTTCTGGTTCTCTCCCGGTTCTCTCCCGGCGTGGCAGGGAAGGTCACGGTGCCCTGGGGCCGTACCAGCGTTTCCTCCACGTGTGTGGGGAGCACATGGCGAGCACAAGGCCCTGCTGGCGGTGTGAGCTGGCGCTGACCCGGCAGGGCAGGGCTGGCTGGCTGCCCACGGCAGTGACGTTGGGTGGTGTTGTGTAACCTCCTCACTGCGCTGCCTTCTCCTCCTCATCCTCTCTGGCAGCTGCTCAGGGAGTATCCCGGGCACTGTTTTCCTTGGCAGCACCAAAGCCGTGGGTCTGTGATTCAGTCACAGGATTCAATTGTGCTAAAAACCCAGATTACTAGAAATCTGATTTGAAATTTCAGCATTCAGAAACAAAAGTTTTAAAATTTTTTTTTACTGCAGTTTGAATTCAGGTTTGATCTGTTTCAATAGAGCTAACATCTATCAGTGTGGAGATGACCACCAGTCATGTGCCAGGCTCCGTGTGTTTCGCTCACAGGCTCAGTGTTTCCCTTGAAAAGAGAACAGGGCAATTGTACAAAGGAGATTTAAAAGTAAAAGCTCTTGCTCTCAGGATAGCAAAGTAGTTTTTCACTAAAGGGAAAAAAAAAGCTCAGGAAACTTAAACCCAAATGAGTCTGGCAGGGGAGGAGCACAGCACCAGCCAAAGCTGCACAGCGGCTGTTCTGCTCCTGCAGGCACTGTGACAGTACACTGATTGTTGCAGCCTCTCTTCCTACAGAATCCTTCCTGCCCCCCTTCCCAGCTGGAACTTCTTAGAAACAGACTGTTTGTTTCCTTGGCTGGATTTAAATATTTGTATCTGCATCAAATCAGATAAGTTAGAAAGTTAAATTCTGAACTTCCCATAGAGCTGTCATTTTAATTTATCCTTGGACCTGGGCTTGTGCTCTGCTACAGTAAATTAGAATTTGCAATTAGGCACACTGTTGCACAAAGGAAATGGGGCCCAGCGCAGCTGGAAGTTAATAATCCCTTTAGCTGGTGATTCAGCCTGAGGCAGTGTGGGCTGTTGTGCTGCAGCTCAGCTGAGGAGGGTGTCCCGTGGGTCCAGCAGCACGGTGGGCTCCAGACCCGGCACACAGCTGCAGCCAAGTCTGTTTTACAGGGGCCACCTCGGCTCTTGGTCTTCACTTTGCTGCCTGCACAACCTGAGTGGAGGTGCAGGAGACCTCTGGGAAGTTTGTAAGGTGCGTGGAGCGATGTGGAAAAAACCACAGTGAGAATAAAATGCTGTTTGCTTTGAGAAAGCAGAGCCCTGTCCCCTGGCTGTCCCGAGCAGTGTCCCCAGCAGAGCAGAGCCCTGTCCCTTGGCTGTCCTGAGCAGTGTCCCCAGCAGAGCAGGGAGCAGAGCTCTGTGTCCTGGCTGTCCTGAGCAGTGTCCCAGCAGAGCAGAGCCCTGTGTCCTCAGCAGTGTCCCCAGCAGAGGACAGGCCTGTCCTCCCCAGAGCCCCTCTGGCTGTGCCCATGCGGGGAGGGCAGCGGGGAGCAGTGCCCAGCCTGGCACATGTCAGACATGGCTCACAGCCCGTGCAGCTCGGCTGGCTTTGGCCCTCTCGGGAGGATTCCTTCCCCCTAGGAAATGGAATCATCTTTGGAAGCTAACTGAAGCCCTTAAGCAACACTGCTACTCCGTGTTCTCAAACTGTGCCTGTCGCTGTGGCACCTGAGCACCCTCCAGTTTTGGGGGTTATTTTCTACTGTACATTTAGCGTCAGATGACATCCAGGTGATTTGGTCACCAGGTGACACTGGGACAACTGGCACACAGCCCAGCCCAACCCATCAGTCTTGGGTTGTGCCGCAGGTCCTGCCTGTTGGCCAGTTTCCCCAGTACAGCTGAAACGCTGACTAAATAACAAGGTGCTTTCAAAGTCTGAGACGCAGCTGTGCTTCCCAGGGCATGCAAAACGCAAAGAGCAAAAGTCTTTGGAAGGTGTGGAAGCAAGGCAGTGATCCCAAGCCCTGCACATGCTGCTCGGGTGTGGCAGAGGCACCGGGGGCTGCTGTGGCGGCAGATGGGCCTGGTCCTGCAGAGCAGTTTTGGCTCTGTTTGTGAAATAACTTTGCTTACTGATTCACAGAGGTCCTCTGGCAGCCGTGCTTGTAGTGTTAGAGACAAGATGTAGCTGTAGTGAGCTAAGGATTTATACTATGGTTTGTCATTATTACCTTGGGAAAGGGCAAGAAAGATGAAATTTCCTTATGACTTACCTGTGCTCACTAGTGTTGCTAATCATTTATGGTGTTGAAGTTGTTTATCCTCGCATCATCTCCCTTGTCTTCTCAAACTGCCTGCAGTAACAGTTGTGCCCCTAAGAATGATACAGTTTCCTGTTCATGCCAA